ACTTACTTACTTACTTACTTACTTACTTACTTACTTACTTACTTACTTACTTACTTACTTACTTACTTACTCTACTTACTTGCACACTCCTCACTCACTCACACTCACTCACTCACTTCACTCACTCATCACTCTCTCACTCACTTTTACTTAATTAACTTTACTTACTTACTTACTTACTTACACTCACTCACTCACACTCATACTGAAGTCTCATATTGAAGCAGATTTTTCGCACTACAGCATATTTTCACAAATAAGCTTAGAAGATAATAGGAATAATCCTTGTAAAAAGATATTACATATTTTCCATTGGTTGGTGCTAAAACAAGGAAATAATTATAATTAATGTAAAAACAGTGATAATGCTAAGAGATGTGAAATATAAGAGAGAATAAATTTGCAACAGAGCGAGAGAAGCAGCTTATCTTCACAAAACCTTGAATAATATACATAACATATTTTGTATTAATTCACAAGCTGTTAATAATATTCTTCCAGTATATAACATCAACAAATATTGATAAAGTTCGATAAAACATCACATAAAATTATCTAAGAATAATTTAATATTTCTTACTTATCATTTGTAATCATCATGCTTTTGTGGAGAACATTCTGTCTTCATAGTTCTTCTCAAGGACAAATAAGGAAGTAAAGAAATTCATAATCTTTAAAATTGTATTTTATCAAATTCTCATTATATACACAATAAACTTACATCTGGAATGTTACCAGATTCTTATATACAGGTTCAAATACTGGATCTAAATGAACAATATATTCAATAATCTTATTCACATTGCTGTACCTCAAATACAAAAGAAATCTTAAATACCTTTTTTTAAGAACTATATAACAAAGAAAAAAAAAACGATTGCCCTTTATATTTGGTTAAGTATTTCAAACACTGTAATTATAAATATCTGAATTTACCTTTGATTATGGTTCCATACACAATATTTATTACACATTCCAATGTTGGGATAACAAACTACTATGTTAGTTGAGTAACAATCACTGCATACACTTTACATCACAATTGCTCCTTTCATCCCGCTGAAACTGAAAATCCTTGTTAGTCCTGGCACCTAAACTCAATAGACTTCTAAAAGTTGTAACAAGAGAGAGATCACAACAATATATGCTTACACACATTCATATGCGAGTATATATGTATATATATACTGTATGTATGTATACATGTTTGTGTGGGTCTGTTTATAATATGCTGTATTTGTGTGTAATACTGACCCCCTTTCACCATTACACAAATTGAAGATCAAAAAATCAAATCCATACTGTTGGAGGCATCATATAAGGAAAACAAATTTCATTTCTCAGTTACCTAAGCTTCTCCACAAAGGTATTTCCCATCACTGACTACTAATGCTCACAGGCGTTACTCCATCGCAATTCTGTCTTGTTGCCACCACTGGAGAATGTGATAATGGAAAAGCTTAACAAAAAGGAGTTTCTGTACATGTTTCTGCACTATTGTAATCATAAAGCCAGCATTTATATGACAAAAGTTTATTGCTTCTTTCACTGAAAATCCATAAGTACATCAGTGTCTTCTGAATGTGCTTTCCTTTTTTTTCTTTTCAGTTTGCAACATACTCAACATAACACGCACATAAAAAAAAGGTTACCACTTGGAAGGATGTGAAATACTGTCCACTTCTATCCTTTCTCCTAACTGAGTGCCTGAGACGATATCACCTCCTTCATAGTAAGCGTTCTTCTGCGGTCCTTCTTCTTCTCCTCCTTCTCGTAGCGTTCCTTCTCCCTTTTCAGCTCATCCAGAAGAGAGCCGGAGATGGCCAGGAGGCGGTAGCGCTGGCGGAGGTTGCGAGCCCTGACGTGGGTCGACGAGATCTCCACGGTGAAGCTCCCGGGGAACCATCCTCGCTCCTGGTCTCGGATTCTCTCTCCCTGATACCAGCCTAGTGTTGAAAAGGAGGCATTAGTTAGATCAACTACATCTATATCTATGGTTCAAATCTATGGACATGTCAAGAAATAAAATCTTGAAGTAAAAACATATATTTTCATGATATTCTCTGAGTCATTTATTACAGAATGAAAATCTGTGATGTAATTCTTGTTTAAGCAACATATCATTAAATACATAATACAAAAAGTTGTACTTTATCTTCAATATTTGTCAAACGTATCAATCACTTTCACAGTCTGTTTGTCAAATAAAAGGCCAATTGTTTTATACTGTACCTATTTACAAGAAAAATGGTAATACCATCACTTTTAATATCATAATGGCATGCCCTATTGAATTACCCTTGTCAGATACTGTCATTTTTTATTAGTAATTAAATCATGCAATTAGTCATAATGCAAAATGTGCATCACATATTTTGGGTATTGTTAGCATTAGAATAATCATAATCATTATTACTAATTACATGTCACTGATATCATTTGGGTTTTGTATCATGCAAGTGTATGTTTGTGCAAATTCAAGCTTAAAACTGTATTCATCTACCTCAATATTTGCAATGATTTGCTTATGTGCATGCATATGTCTTAACATACATGAAAAAAGCATCAAGCACTTGCAAGCTTAAGCTTTTATCTACTTACACTATTCTAAACTAAAATCTTGAGCATGTAGAAGAAAATATAAGCATTCAGAAACATACAACAGAATACGAAGACAATCTTACACTGAAAAACACACAAGAACACAATAAGGTAAGTGAAATGATCACAGACTGAAGTATATCTAATATCAGTTCCTTACCATGTCTATGCTAGTCTCTCTATTCCCTTTCTCCGTGAGTGTAAACTACTCGGTACACTCCCTTTTCAACACATTTTCAGAACTGCTCCATTGTTAAAACAGATTACCACACAAGAGGATGAAGATGAAAAAACAGAAAAAGGAAGAAATGGGAAAAAATGATGGCAATTTCCAAAATATATATGCATTGCAAGGCAATTCTATCAGCCATTCAGCAGTTCTATTGCAAAGACCTAATTGGGACCACACTTCAAACATTCCCTAAGCTGGATCTACTAATTCCTATACAGCAATTAAATAACATTGCACATTAAAAGCATGCACATTACAGTACAGTATACCAAACTACGTGTGAAGAAGCACTCTGTGCAGATACAGTTGATCATGAAGAAAACAGCATTGTGTACAAACAAATGAAATAAACACTCCCACAACACAAATGGTGTGAAAAAAATGTTTGATTACATTTCTTCAACAGCAGCGTTTCATTTTATCTGGTCATTCACAATAGTTAATGAAGCTGGCATCATTAAAATGTCTCCCTCGTTCAATTCTGAATGTTCTCCAACTCAAAAACTAACATCAATAATGACCACTAAACACATTCTTTATCTTAATTTTGCACTGACCATTTCAAGTCTCTTGATAAATTTCTGAAGAGATAATTTGATAATCTACTGTGCAACTGACGAATGGTTTTAAAAAAAATTTAATATATACAGGTAAATATAGCAACCAAACAGTAAATAATAGAATTACAAGAGAACAAAAATTGCCTGCATTAAATCTTAGTTATGACACACTAGAGAAGGGTTGTCTTTCATTCATAGATGACACTGACAACTTTGGGAGGAAAAACACTTAAAAAAAAAAAAAAAGATTTGATGAAGACAGTATTTCGAAGATCAACTCCTATTTTTACACAAAAATTCATTCCCAGTACCAGTGCCAACACAGTAATCCACGGTCACTAACTCAACCTGTTCAACTCGGTGGGCATCAGTTTGCACTCTTGTCTGCTAGGCCTCCACTGTTCTTGGATGACTGCTACCTAATGCCGGATGTATGTAAAAACCTTGAACTAAATGAAAAATAACTAATCAGTTAAGGCTGACCTCCTACGTTCTTCTACAGACTCTTGCACATCCACAAAGAAAAAGCTTTTGCCATTTTCCTTCTAACGTGAAAAAGCCTAAGCAAAGTTCATGCACAATAGCCCCTTGCAGGCTTTCCGTGGCAAAGCGCAATCAGGGCATTCCATGCATCAGATCATTTATTATTAATCACGTTTATTTTGAGATTTGACACTCATCTATATAACAACATGTACATGCATTAATAGGTTAATTTGCACAATCATGCTGGTTAATATATCTAATGCATTACATAATCCATTTCTACTCTTCTCTGGAGTTACTCTCTTAGAAGTCAACCAATTCTAGAAATAACTATTACCGTCTCAAGTACAAAATTTGAAAGTCATCTCTGTTGGGCTACTGAAAAAAAGTCGCATCTTTTTGAAAGTAGTAGAATAACCAATGCCAGTCTTCTAACTTGTCTCACATCAATATCATCAACACAAAAAAGGTTTAGATTAATACATTCCTATCCATTACTCACCATCTGCCATCTTCTTTAGAACATTAACAACATCAGATACTTCGAGAGAAAGTTCATCTGGTTGTTTGGCAACATATGGGTGAATTGCTTGCACCTACAAGGGAGAAAATGACAAATTTAAGTAACTTGATTCTTACTGATAAATTAGTAACAATCTAACTTGATTCATATTGTAGATTCTTACTGATAAATCAAAAACAATCTACATAGCATAAACAGTAACTTGATTCTTAGAGTAGATTCTTAGTGATAAATCAATATGAATCTACATAGTATATAACCACTAAGAATGACAATAAAAAGAAACCAGAACATGAACTGTTTATCAAATAAACATTTTGCATCATTCTAATTTTAGGAAAATCAAATAGCATTTAAAACACCTTTAACCCACCATCATTGTCATTACTCTGTTCATTCATACTACATATCCACTCTCTTTTCCTATGCTTATCCAAGAGCTTACCTGAGGGCAGTCCCACTCCTCGTATATCCTCTCGTCAGGATTGTCCGAGCTCCTAGGCGTCACTGCTTCCACCCAGCGCGTTCTATCAGACTCCATAGGACAGGATACAACCTAATATTAAAAAGATAATAATAATCATAATAAAATTACATTTCAGGCTGGGGGATTCTATTTCCATAAAATAACAATACAGTATTCTACTCACAAAAAGTCAATATTACATCAAAGAAAAAATATATATATAGTAATAATAATAACCATTTCAACAGTCTTGTTCTCATGGTTCTGCAACATGGTCAGGATAAGAAGGTTCTTGTGGCCGTCCAAAATGCGTCCTGGGAACTTGTCTGCAGCGTCTAGTTCCAAAACTTGTACCATGTTCCTCGAGCAGTAGTCCAGCACCATGTACTGGTCATCACTGTTGGGAAACAATCAAAATGTAAGTTATTCCTATTGGTATGTTTTTACTTATAACTCTGGAAAAATACCATATGATCTTAGCAGTAAAAGTAAATAATGATGGTACCTGTCAAGTATCCCTATACGATAGTCAGGAGAAAAAGACATTTTGGGTGATATTGGGAAGACAAATTACATACATAAGTCTAAAGCAAAGCATATGTTTACCTCTTTTTCTTTGTAACTACTAGCAGGTCTGTGAAAAGGAAGAAATACAAGGTGTGTTTGGATATTCTCCTGCCAAAGGTGAGTTTGACGTCGTTCTCCCTCCAGGTGAGTCTCGTCATTTCCCCTTTCTTCACAAGCCAACGGGATGCCGAGATGAGGGGAATGGCTTTCACCTCTCGGAAGTCCAACTGACGGGAAATGATGAGCATTTCTTCCATACGCTCCATCTTCCTGGCTCCCTCATTGCATTCTGCTACAATCTGTTGAGGAAATTTCAAATCATGAAGACAGGGGCGTACTAAATCAATTACAGTTGCACTCTTTCATCAGTGGTAGTTAAAATAAACACACAGTAGAGGACAAAACCATTTTCATAATGCATTTCCTAATCCTCCTCCAGAAAACATCTCATCTCCCTCACCCACCCAATCTACCAACAATAATTTACCACAACCAATGAAAATAGACCACCTCGGAACTGACCTTTGTTAGAGTAGCTAAGGCTAGTTTACACTCGTTCCATTCTGGAGTGCCGTATTCCAGCCTATGAAATATGGCATCCACGAGCAAGGGCAATCTTGTGATCCTCTGCATGGGGAGCATGAGGAAGGAGTGCATGGCAAGGGATTGGCACACTGGAGAACTCTCTAAGCGATTCAGCACCTCTAAGAACCTCGGATTATTTTCTCTGCAAAATAAACAATTTATATTATTGTTATCATATAATCAAAATCATTACTATTACTTCTGTTATAGTCATGATAATAATTATAATTGCAATAGTGAATATACCCATTAACATTACTGATATTAGCATTATTTCTATTTTTTTTATTTTATTTCATCTTCATTACTACCATTGTCATTATCATCATAAAAAGGGGACTGTAAGCACTATTTCGAATCACATGCCATTACAACAAAATCTACTTCCAATATGGCATAACCATATCGTAATCACATATACTCACTTCAGTTCTTTTAGAATTCTATCTTGGTAGATTTGATTAGAACAGTATTTGACATAGGCTTGTGAGTGGTTATGAGCATGTTTCAGTATTATGTCGGAAAGTTTTGAGATTCTGACGGACTCCTGCCATCGTTTCTCCAAGTCAGCAAGGAGCATTTCAGAACATCTCTTCACTGGAAAAAGGGGGAGAAAAGAAATTACTCTCAATTGAATCTTTGAAGGCATAAGAAAGAAAGCAATATGGTGTTATAATCTCCTCTTTCACATTAAATAGTGCATTCTGAAGCAAAATACTAAAACAATAAATATCAAAATATCTTCCAATTTCCTATCTTCAAGGTCAGTGCAAAAATACTTTATTGCAAGACACAATTTTCAGTAACTGTATATCAAAACACTCTTCCAAAAATAATAATTACATCAAAAATAACAATTTTCTCTATACATATAACATCACTCCCAAATAAGGGCTTATCTTTACAATATATTGTACTTAGTTCTGATTACTGTACTCTTTGTCACAAGGCTATTAACAGAATAGTGATAAACAAAATGCACACTAAAAAAAAAGACTAACACTCACCTGGTAAAATATCAGAAAAGAGAATGTGTCTCTCCCTTCTGGTAAGCACCGCATCTTCCCCTTCGTCAACAGCGAACTCTGGGCACTGTACGAAATGCGTGACCAAGACGTTGAGACTCTTCAAATAGGAGGCCTCGGAGGTAATCATCTCGAACATGGCCTCCTGCATCTTTTTCTGCTGACTGTTGATTTGACCTGAAGTGTATAACAGAGGGAATGAACTACAAGCCATTCCTGAATGAATGATGTCAATTTCATACAAGTGCCAAGAATGACTATTAGTTGACATAACATGTTTTTCCAAGAGAAATAGGAAGTTGTAAATAAGTGTCTAGAAAATGTAAAGGGGAGAGGTCGGTTGCATAGAGTTGCCAAGAACATGATAATTACATGAACTATGCATCAACACTATGAAAATCAAGTCAACATTGTATGGATGGCTTTGATGAAACAGTATCAAAATAAATATAAACAAGGAAGCAAGACTAGTAGAAAAAAAATTACGAAACCAAATAGCACACCTAAACAACCTAAAATAACCTATACCATAAAAAAAAACAAAAAAAAACAAGAATTATTACAAGTTTGACTTACTTAAAATACCACTCTCTATGACTTCAGGCAGCTCACACCACAGGGTACGTCGTCCATCAGCTGGAGTCACAAGCTCCATTGCAGAAGGACGAGTTTGTAGCTTTCCCGGTGGGGAATTATGATGTCCATCGTTGATTACCTATTAGCAGGAAAATTAATATTAAGAAAAAATATTAATTTTAAAAAGTTAAAACATACTTTTATGCTGACTCTATCAGATTAAAATAACAACTCCCCACATTCTAAAATTTGATTAAGCCTAAATCAATGTGTTTCAGTTCAATAAATCTGCTTATTCATTCTAACTAAAATTAACCTTAGTTATTCTGCAAAGTAGTTTCCATTCTGTGTCTAAAAGCAGCATTACAATTGTCATCCATCAAATAAAAGTATCTTAGATTATCTGAGTAACATCTCTAGGGAATTTTCCTTAAAACTTAAAAAGCTATTACCTCATAATCATCTTCTGAAGAGCAGTCTCCTTGATTCTGTGTTGCTCGCTCCAGCACTGTTGCAGTGTAAAACTGGTAGAGGGGTTCATCAGCAAAGTGTGAACTCACATACAATGGCTCGTCTTGATTCAATGCATCACAGCTGAAGTCCAGGTAGCTATTATTATCCCCATCCACAAGACTAGAGGGCATGTGAAGAAGCACAGGATGCGATCTCCTGGAGGAGGACGAGGACGACTTGGCATTTAGTTGAGATTTGGCTGGGGTTCGTCTCGCAGGCAGAGGAGGGGGAGCTGAGGCAATGTCTGCAGGACGAATGTATCCCTCGCTTGACCCATGGGAAACAGCACTCACAACAGACGTTCGGGCCTGGGGCACATTTTGCATAATGGAGTTTGCTACCTCTAATCCTAAGGCTCTTTCGTCCCCGCTGGAGTCGCCACCACTGTTAGACACCAGAGTACTCATGTCAATTGTGGCATATTTCACACTGTTTGGCCTCAATCCAGCATATCCACTGTCATCTGGATGAATCAGAACAGGGACTGGGGAAGTGTCACTGCTTGAGCATTCTGATGTTCGAAGAACTCTTCGCCCTGGAGGAGCTGTGGGTCCTGAAGACAGCAGCTGATTCAGCTTGGTTGCTACATTAGCTTTGCTAAGTTCTTCAGGTTCAGTTTCTGTGTTTCTTGAATCGACATGTTTCTCTGAAATGCAAAATTATTATGAAGCTGTTGCCTGGTTTATAAATAGCATACAACTATATTATGTATTTCTAGATTTTAAGAAATGCCATAAGTTTGTTATATGCTTTACTCTATACTTATAAAATATCATCAACATCATGAAGATGCAATAAACAAAAGTTACAAACAATTCCTAAATAATAAGACTGATGTGCTCTTACCTTTTGGAGGTGGAGCTGGAGGTGCTGTGCGTGGTCTTACTGGTCCACCACTACAAGAACCTGTCGATCCCTTCTTACTATAGATACTAGAAACCGGTCGTTGTCTCGTTTGCATACTGGTATCACAAGAACTCTGCGTTGTGACAGATGCTATTGAAGGAGTACTAGACTTCCTATATTCTTTCATACTAGCATTAGAGAGCACACTTTCCGAATCTGAGCGGATGGTGCGCTGGGAAGCATCAGACATCTCCCCTGCATCCTGTCTTTCTGTTTCTATTGTGAGGGTAAGGTAGAATGTGGCCGATTCCTTCTTGGATGCCGGGGGTCCTGCTCGTGTGACTGAAGTCACCGACCCTGCTGAGGATTTTCGTCTGAAGTGGCTCTTGAAGGACCACTTTCTCTTATTATCTGCACTAGTGGGGCTCATATCACATGCTAGATCTGCAAAAATCAAGGTATTATGAGCACGAAAACCTTTATAACAGAAAATACTAATCACTACTCTCCATCATATCACCAAACATCCAAAGGCCTGTCAAAATAACTTACTTTCTGTACTTTTGATGTCGGAGGCGCTGAAAGTGCTCTTCTTTTTAATACGATTCAAGCCTGTTCTGACTTCATTCTTCGTTAGTGACCAGTTCCGCCTCAGTCTCCGCATGCCTAGGTTGGCTGCTTCAGCAATCTTGGTAATTCCATACTGTTGCTGCTGCTGTTGCTGGCCGTTCTGTGGCTGAAGTTTGTCTGATGCTGAGACTTCTGAGCTCAGTGATTCAGGATGGTCCCTTGAGGTCTGAGATCCATCATCAAGGAACTGTGAGAAAAAAAATATTATTTCAATGATGCACTCAAGAGGGAATGGCAGTACAATATGAAGAGGCTAAAAAGGAAAAAAAATACATACATATCTATATATATCTATACCTATCTATCTATCTATCTATCTATATATAGGTATACATTTACTTCATTATCAACCAGATAAGTAACTATCTCATGTAATAACATCACTTGATTATCAACTGGAATATTGAATTCTTTCCTACAATAATATCCCTTCCTCCCAAGCAAAATATTTAATAATTTCACATTTAATTACATCCCTTCACACTCTACAAAAACAAACAATCTCAACATAAGACATACTACAATCTCCCCAGACCTTTAAAAAAGTATACTTAAAGTGACTGATGTCTAAGCTTTGTAGAAATAAGGTGGAATATTTTGAGGAATGATATTTGTGTTTGTTCTCTGGCCTCACAAGCCACTCCCATATTACTAATGCTCTGTGAGGAGGACTGAAACCACATCATCTCCCCTCATGTCACCTCACCTCATCTAACTACTCTCATCCCACCTTACCTCATCTAACCTCGCCACCTCATTTCAACTCACTCTACTCCACTTTAGTTTCCCACTCCCCGCTTCACTTCACCTCACCTCATCTCATATCACCTAACTCATCTCAACCTACTCCACATTACATGACACGCCACTCCACACATCACTTCATTTCACATTATATCCATCAATTTTAAATCACATCACATGCACACACCACCACCCCCACCCACTTTACCACCGAACACCCTACTTCATCTCCTCTCCCTCACTCCCTCACTTCCCTCCTCCTCTCCTCTCCCACCCTCACCCTCTCCCTTACCTTCCTCTCCCTTTCTCCCTCTCCTCACCTTCCCTCCTCCCCCCTCCCCTCCCTCCCCTTCCCTCTCCCTCTCCCTTCCCCTCACCCTCACCTCCCACTCCTCTCATTCCTACCCAACTCGACCTGCCCATCGTGGCTTCAGTGGGAACAATGACCAGATTTCGAAGCCTCTCAATGAACAATAACTCGGTGTGTAATTTCGATGAAGAGCGAAGCACCGTAGCCTGAATAATGTATTTTGTGTGTTAGTCTTATAAGCTAACTAAAAGAGCAATTTTCTTGAATTTTTATATATATACTAATGTTACAAATATCAAATCTCTAGGCTGGTCTCTTTAAAATACTCAATAATCAAAAACATTTAGAAACTCAAGCTGTACCTAAAACTAACCGCAAATATTCCTTTTCACGACCCAGCCAACACCCGGAAAATAAATATAAATAAATATAAATAAAGATTAACTTACCTGAGGCCTCAAACGAGAGTAGGCCTCGTCCGAATCATCTGAATCAAAGGAGTCGTCGAAGTCCTGGTCATCACTCCGCTGGAGGTGTTCGTCCTCTGCAGGGTTAATGACCTCGTATATGGCTTCATAATGACCTGTTGCGTTATCCTCATCCTCAGAATCTCCACCTGTGAAAATACGAAGAGTTAATATACTTGTTTCTTTGCGGTTTCATTATTCGATCGAGTGGTGTAGCGATTCCAAACTTTCGGATCTCTAAATCTGCTTCAGTCTAATAAATCTGGTTTGGCCTACTGGTGATCGCGTCATTACACTCTTAACACCATTTCCCCCTTTACTATCACTCAATATATCGTATCTACATTTCCTCTGAACATCACTCCATTACAACATTTCCTAAAAAAAAAAAATAGACACTCATCCCTATCACCATTACTTTTCAAACCCATATGTCGTATCGATTGTATATAATTCATCCAGACATCACCTCAGCATCTAATCATTTCATCACCACACTATCACAGACCCCCCCCCAGCCCCTACACACACACACAAAGTAAACGCAATCAAGTAATTAAAAAAACAAATACCAAGTTCATTCACCGTTCACAAGACCTTGTTCACCCCTTCGGCCATCACTCTCATCACACAGCCAATGCTTGCACACTCTCACATCAGGAGCTGCCCTACCACGCATGCTGTGAAGGACCTTTGTGTGTGGTGTGGGTACTGTAAACATACTGCTGAGGGGGAGAGGGGGAAGGAGGGAGGTGAGGGAGGTGGGAGGAAGGAAGGAAGGAGAGAGAGGAAGGGGGGATGGAGGAGGAGGAAAGTAGGGGGAGGGAGGAGGGAAGGAGAGATAAGGTAAGGGCAGTGATGCGGAAGAGGGGGGGGAGGCGGAAGGAGGAAGGAGGGGCAGAAGTGAAGTAGAAAAGGAGAGGGAGGGGTGGGGAGAAGGGGATAAGGAAGGAGGAAGGGAAGAAGGCGAAATAAAGAGAGCCTGGGAAAAGGAGAAAGAGGGGAAGAGAGGGAGAAGCAGAAGAAAGAGTGGGAGAGGAAGAAAGAAGGAGAGATAAAAAGCCAGAGAGGTAAAAGAGGAAGAAAGGAAGAAGAGAATGAAGAGACAAGGGAAACAAGAGATAGAGAGGGAGAGGTGGACCGAAGGATAAACAGTGGGAAAGAGTGAAAGACTTGGAAGAAGCTTAAGAAAAACAGAGATGCTTCTTGTCCGAGTTATTAGGGAATTTTCAAGGGATTATAAGTTCTAAAGCTGTACTATACGTGTTATTTTCGTAAACCGTCGACTTAAAACTATTCTAGACTTTAATTGGGTTGTTTGGCGTTTGTGTCGTTATGAGCAATACGAAAATCTAATATTACATAATATAACCTCATATCCCATTGAAATATTGGCATGCATATATTGCAAATATTCTCTAGCCTGCATGAATGATCACTCAGGAATAGCATAAAAGTGTCATGAAAAAACGCGCTTATCGAACTCTTAAGTACACTGTTCAATGTTCATGAACTATTGCATTGATCCGAAGATGATGTACACATACTAACACATATACTAAACACATTAACCATTCATCTCTATCTCTGTTCTCTCTTCTCTCTCTCTCTCTTCCTCTCTCTCACTCTCTTCTTCTCTCTCTCTCTCTCTCTCTCGCACTCCTTCTCTTCTTAGCAAACTCTCTCTCTCTTGCTCTCGCACTCTCCTCTATCCTCTCTCGCACTTTTTTCTCTCTTCTAGCACTCTTCTCCTTTCTTTCGCACCTTCGTCTCCTCTTCTCGACTATTTCTTCTCTTCTTCTCTGTAGTTTCCTCCCTCTCTTCTCCTCTCTCTTCTCGTGTCTCTCATACTCTTCTCTCGATCTCTCGTCACATCGTTCTGTTTCTTCGCTCTCTCTCCATAGCTCTTCTCTCTTCGCTTCTCATCTCTTCTCTTCGGGCGTTCTCTCTCGCTCTCTCTCTGTCTCGAATATGCTATCTTTCATCTCTCTCTGCTCATCTTCTATAGTTCTTCTCTCGCTCTCTCTATCTAGGCATCTCGCTCTCGTCTTTTTTCTTCTGCGTCTCTCCTCTTCTGTTTTCCGCAGTGCTCTCTCTCTCTCATCGCTCTTTCTGTCCTATCTCGCTTCTCTATCGCTCTCCTCTCTCTCGTTCTCCTCTCTCGGATCGCTTGCTCTCTTCCTTCTTTGTGTCTTCTCATCTCTCTCTTTCGTCTCTTATCCTTCTTCTCTTTCTCGTCTTCTTCTCTCCTCCCCTTCTTTTTCTCTCATGTCCATCTCTCTCTCTCTCACGCTTCTTCTCTCGTCTTTTCGCTCTCATCTCCTTTTTCGATCTCTCTTCTCTCTTTCGCTCGTTCTTCTCTCTCTTAATCGCTCTCTCTCTCTTCTTGGTCTCCTTCTCTCTTCGCTTATCGCCTCTCTTTCTCTCGCACCACAGTGAAAGGGACACAGCACACAGCACATCACACAGTAGTTGACACACACCACACGACACAACAACATCAACAACACACAACAACCCCACAACGAACCTGAGCCGAGCACGCAACCGCACACTCCCAACCACAGAAACCGAGAGTCGCAAACCCGGCAGATCCGAGCGTCGCTCTCCTCTACGAGTCATCCTCCACCAAGCGAACGTAAAAAAAATCCCCATCATCTTTCACCAGCCACGGAGGTGCAACGTCCCCCCCCCCCCGTGGTATCCCGAGAGTGTCATTAAGAGCTGGGAACACATGCCGCTTTGCTAATCCTCGCTGGCGACGTCCTATTACGAGGCGGGAAGCGCGGTCGGGCTCCAGCTGACCGCGAGTCCTACCGGGAAGCAGCAGGACTTTCTTCCCCAAACCAGAGACGAAACTTTAGAGCGAGTAAATCACCTTCGCGCGTGACACTCGATGGAGATCCTGTTACTACTGTTTGTATTTTTGTTTCTTTGGATGATTTGTGTCCTTAAATATATGGTAAACTTAGGATTAAAAACGTTATAATTGTCTACAACAAAGAGCAAAAAATGCATGCAAAAGCGAACAGGATACGGAAATCATGCGGTTTCCTAAGCCAATCTACGAAAACATGCACAGGACCACTTACCCGTTTCCCTGTAGACATGTAGATTATCTTACCCTACTTACGAAGAGTGCCTCGCGCCCCCGAGGAGTGCTTTCTGAACCACTTACCTAGGCTGCAGGCGCGAAACAACCGCACGTAGGTCATGTGCACCTCGCCAGAGTACAATTAGACCTAACCATTCCAGCCCACGAGCCCGGACGCTACTGTAGCTATTACAGACCACAGCAGCGGCGCCCCGAGTCATCACACGTCACACTCGCATGCGGGAGGCAGCCTTGGCGGTCCCGCACGCAGGGGCCAAGGTGGGAGGCGAGCGCTCCACTTCCGCCTGGCCGCCGCGCACGCAATGCACGCGCGCTCGGGACCATCCGCTCGATTTACGGGAGGATTACCGAAGGATTACCGAAGGCGTCCTCACCCCCGCTCGTCCGTGAAGGGCACGAGGCGCCGCCACGACCAATCGCCCGCGGAAAGCCTTCCCTCATGACATGCCAATAAAATCATAACAACAGCAATCCCCAAACGTCGCGCCCGCCCCTTCGCGACGCCCCGAGCCGAGCCGAGGCGCGCGAGGGGGCGGCGACCCACCTTCCACGTAGAGGCTGATCTCCTGGGCCTCGTTCTCGTCGCCCTCGTAGAAGATGCTCCTGATCTTGGCGCTCTCGTAGTAGAGGCTGCTGGAGGTGCTGGCCGTGGAGAGGAGGGAGGCGTTGTAGTAGCCGGGCGAGTAGGCGGCGTCGTAGGTGTTGGGCTCGCTCTGCCCCAGCAGGATGGTCGAGGAGGAGCTCACGTACACTGCAAGCCACGGCGCAAGCTCAAGCAAGCGAGTCGACCGGCGTCCAACTCAAAGGGACACCCTCACATATACACGTCTACATATATCACATAATCTGCATTCATCATATGTCAAAACCGCGTCGGAACGCAGGGACGACTTCCGAGAGGTGAGCCACGTCCTCCTCCCTTAACCGCGCGTCACAGTGACCCCCAAAGCAATTACGAATCCACGTCGCCGAATGACCAAGAGCTCGAATGACTTTCATTACTTCTTTTTTTACGCATAATACTGTAAAGACGAAAGTGTCAGTTTCGTTGGCATTTCCGGCAGCAGACGGATGACCGCTGTTTCTCCTTGGATTCACGTGAGTGCGCGGAGGCGTGGTCAGGGGGGGGAGGGGGATAAAGGGAAAGGAGAGGAGAGAGGAAGGGGTGGAAAGAGGGAGAAGGTAGGACGGAGGAGAGGGAGTGAAAAGCAGGAGAGGGAGAGATGGAGGAGACGGATGGGGAGTGAAGAATGAAGAAGGTAAAAGACGGGGACAATCGAGGAAAAAGGAGAGGAAGAGACGAGAGAATGGAAAAGGAGAGGGAGGGTGCGAAAGAAGATGGCGTGGAAACGGTGAATGGAAAATATTAGAGAGAGGGAGAGAGAGAGAGAGAGGAGAGAGAGAGAGAGAGAGAGATGAGAGAGGAGAGAGAGAGAGAGAGAGAGAGAGAGAGAGAGACAGAGATAGAGAAAGAAAAGAAAAAGAGAGAGAGAGAGAGAGTGAGTGAGTGAAACGGGACGGGGTGTGCGGGTTCCTCTCACACTGTTACTTTGTTGACTCTGTTGCAATGACCTCTCCCTCCCTGCATTTGATTTCCGGGGTGGGTCGGGCGGCCTGGCTCGCCGACGCAGCAACAGGCAGTCACAAAAGAGACCAGACAAACCGACACAAAACAGGTCTTTCCATTACTCACAGCATGACAGGAAATATCGAGACCAATTTGCGGATCTGGTCTTCATCCGCGCGCAAGAATAGCTCGTGTCATGGTATCATAATGTATTAACAGAACAATGAAAAAAATGTATCATTTTTCATGATAGGCAGGCAGACAGACACGCACGCGCGCGCACGCACGCACACACACACAACACACATCACTCACTCACACACACACACAAACACTCTGATTCTCTCTATATATATATATATATATATATATTATATTACTATACTTTATTTATTTAATATCTTATTCTATCTTTTTTCTATCCATCTACTCTCCCTCTATCCCTTCCCTTGCAATCCACATTTCCCGTCCGATCTCCTCGCACCGTCGGATCTGGCCTCGCCCGCCGATCCGTGACAGACAGACGCCGAAAGTGTTGGCGCGCGGAGCCGAGGAATCACTCGAGACGTCTCAAGGTCTTGCTCGAAGCGCCGGAACCTCGGAGACGCAGAGAAAGAAAGACGATTTTTAACGCTTCTTCTTCTCTTTCTCTTCATTTTTTGTTGTTTTTTTTGTTTCTTTTATTTCTTACTCGTGTGGTTTTTTCTACTCTCTCTCGTTCCCCAATTCTCCTTTCCTCTGTATATTTCCTTTCTTCTCCAATCCGTTTCTCTTTTCTTTTTCTTCCTTCGTTAATTACCTCCCCCCCTTCCTCTCTTCCTTCCTTCGTAAAAATACTCCTTCTCTCTCCATCATACGATATCCTCCCCCCTTCTTCCCTCATTCGTAAATCCTCATTTTTTTTCTTGCCTCTTTCTTAATTCCAATTTCCTCTCTTCCTCCCACCGTAAAAAAATACTTTCCTTGTCTTCCCTTCTTCGTAATCCCTCTTCCTCTCTTCCCACCCACGCAAATCCTCATCCTTCCTTATCTTCCTTCCTTCCTTTCTTTTCCCCTCCCCCCTCTTCCTTTCTACCCCTCCCTCTCCCTTCTCCTCTTCTACTCCCTCCCTCCCTCCCTCCCCCTCCCCCTCTCCCTCTCCCCTCTCCCTCTCTCCCTCTCCCTCCCCTTCTCTCTCCCTCCTCACTCTCCTCCCTTCCCTCTCCTCTCCCATTCCCCCTCCCCCTCCCCCTCCCTCTCCCTCTTCCTCTCCCCTTCCCTCTCCTCTCTCCTTCTCCTTCTCCCTCCTCCTCGTTACTTTCCCCCACAAACAAACCGCTGATTCCCGCGACAGAGAAAATCAGACGCCGGCGCATCTCCCGCCATGATTAGCGACGTGTCCGAATGTTGTCTTTTTAGCGAAATGTTGTCTTTTGGCTTGGAGAAACGACTGTCTGGAAGCGAAGCCGACGGAAAAAGGGGGAAGAGGAGGAAGAAGAGGAAGGAGGAGGAAGAAGAGGAAGGAGGAGGAGGAGGAGGAGGAGGTAGGAGGAAGGAGGAAGAGAGGGAGGAGGAAGGAGGAGGAGACGAGTACGATTGACAAAAAAAAAAAAAAATAAATAAAAAAAAAAAAAAACGAAAACAAATGAAACCATTCACTCCCCCCCACCCCATCTCCACGCCCCCATCCACGATCCATCCTCTCACT